TTATAATTCTGGTTGTATCCACTACTACACCCAGGGCTTAGTGCTTATCACTTCTGCCTTGCAACACTATGGGGTCCCTGGTTTGTATCCTGGTCAAGACATTATCTGTATGGAGTTTGCATGTTGCTTGCATGGGTTTCCTTCCACACACCAAAAACATGCTGGTAGGTTAATTGGCTGCAGTCTAAGTTGACCCTAGTGTGTGCATGAATACATATGAGATAAGGACCTTAGATTGTAAGCTCCCTGAGGGCAGAGACTGATATAAATGTGCAGTATGTAAATTGCCATAGCTATATAAATACCTGTAATAAATAGTCTGGCATAGTTAGAAATGTTTTGTTGTGCATTCCATGTTCCTACCATGGAGGTTTCCTTTCTGTTTCATACTGATAAGAAAGTAAAGGCAAATGTTCCCAATGGGAACACACAGAAAACAGGTTCTAATCCTTCTTCACCCATTCCAAAACAAAACATTTTGACTGGTGTTCCATCTTAGGGGTCTATTCACGAAGCTGCCGAAGGATCTGGCCGTAGCTTCGGCTGATCCTTCGGCTAGCTTCGGCCCCAGGACCCCTTCGGTTCAGTAGAACCGAAGGGGTGCTGTATGGGCTATTCACAATAGCCCGTACAGCTCCCGATCATGGCCGAGCGGCTCAGTCGAGCCGAACGCATATGCATCGGCTCGGCTGAGCCGAGGTGAAAGCTTAAGCTGGCCTTTGGCCGGCCGACAGCGTGCTTCTGAAAGCTGGGCGGAGGCAACAGTGATCTTACGGCTGGCTCCGACCACTTGTAGAGGGATCAGCGTCCCTGGTTACGAGCAATGTCAGAATAGAAAAAAAAATAAAGAAAAAATGTTCCCTTTGAAAAGCATTGGTACTTTACTATTGGCTATTTCAATTTGCAATAGCCAATAGTAAACTAGCATTGTACCCGCCCTCTGCTGTACTTTGGGTCGGCCGAACATGCTGAGCATGTTCGGTCGACCCGAAGCCACGTGAAGCAAGCCGATGTACGGCTGATTTCAGCCGATGCACAGCTGAAATCAGCCGTACCAGCCTGAAGTGAATAGCCGAACAGTGTTCGGCTCACTTCACTTCAGATCGGTCATTCACTCGGCAGCTTAGTGAATAGACCCCTTAATGTTTAAACCCATTCAGGTTCCCCATACGTGATCAGGGTATGAAAGCAAGGAATGTAACAAAATAATATAGCTACCTGTACATAGTTAAAAAATAAAATATCCTAAAATGGATTAAATTCACCTTTCTCAAACCTCAGTAGTCTTGGAGCAATGGAACCTATGTGTAGAATTTTTCTGTAACAGACATGCCAACCCTATTAGAAAACCATTCAATACTTACACAATGAACTCTTCTGGAGATATAAAGGGGTTACAATATCTAAATGGTCCAAGCGGATCTCTCATAACTCCACAGAATGAAGAGCTGTTTACGAAGGTCAGGCCTGATGCTGAACAGGCAAAATTGTCTCCTGTGTTTAATATGATATCTTCCTCTTCTAATGGCATCACAGCAGCACGTCTGTAGAAAAAAATATTACCTAATTTATATTTCACAAGATAACATTAACATCTTAATTCTCAATAAGTACAAATTCTGAGTTAATAGAACATTTCCCTAAATTTAATTTTTGATGTGTTCTGTTCCATATTTGTTTATTATGTTATTTTATATAAACATTAGTAACTGCTTGCTCTTTAAATGAAAGAATGTGATAGCTGTTCCCTATGTAAAATAACCTGTCAAGCCAGATGGGAGCCGTCATACTTTGTTCTGAATGTCAGAATTTTTTCTGAATGAGCATGCTCCAAAGATGTCATCAATGTCTTTGCTACACTATTTTGAAAAGTCACTGATCCAGAAAAAGCTTGTGCATATCAGGTGTTTCATCACACATCAAAAGATGTGAGCAGTGACAGCTCGCATTGTTATGTTCTGTAGGTGTTTTAGTGTTACTATCACCACACAACACAAAACAATATTTCCAATGTATGAGTTTTATTCACAGGAATAGTGGCCAGTACTAACCTGAGATCTAACAGTGACAATTCCAGCCACTTATTATCACTCTGCTACAAGTTTGCTGCAAATACATTGCATTCATATTTAGGTATACACCTTGTCTTTGTGGACTTTCTACTATACTCTTCTTATGGGCTGATATATACAGTATCTGTGGTCATGACCTTACCATGTGATTTTCTTTACAACATTGTAAATTTTTAAATGTTTACACTGTGTGACTGAGTCTTGCTCTGTTATTTATGGGGAAGGGCTTTTTGATAGCAACATTTCTGTGATATGTACAGTAGGGATGCACCGATACTTATACTAGTATCAGTATCGTGCCGATACCGAGTACTCGGGTGAGTACTCATACTCGCCCAAATGCCCCCAATGCTTATCCCGATACCAGAACTTTCGGTATCAGGAAGCCCGGCGGCCAGTAATTGTATACACCACCCGCCTTCCTGATTGGCCAGGAAGCCAGCTCCGTGCACTTGGTGATGAGGGAGCATGGAGCCGACTTATGACATGCCGCTAGGTTTCCTGATTGGTCGATAAGATGGTCAATAAGGAAGCCGGGCGACGACTCATTACCCGGGTTCCTGAATGGCCAGAAAGCCGGCTCCATGCTTCCTTGTCACCGGATGATGAGGGAGCATGGAGACAGATTCCAGGCTAATCAGGAAGCCGGGTGGCGAGTTATTATATGCTGCCCGGCTTCCTTAATGGAACTTCCAATATCTTGCTTGTAAATTGCATTACTTCTACATTTCCTGATGAAGCAGGCTCATAAAATATATAGTATGCTAACTCCAGCTTTTGCAGCAGTAGCCTTTTCTTTTATTGCCAAGATGAGTTTACACATGCTTGGCAGTCAAAGGATTGAAATAAGGCATTTTTGATTAAAAGAAAATCTATGTAATAGCAGCAAGGAATCTATAAACAGATTCATAGCATCGGTTGCATAAATATTAAATACCTGACTCTAGGAGCCAATTTAAGTGACTTGACATTCCAACTTTGACCAAATGACTCCACTTCGCCAATCAGTCTACCATCAGGACTGGTAAAGTCAGTTGAGCGTCGCCCATCAAAGTTGCCACAAAGCCCTTCAAGCAAATCTTTGTAGGTGTTTGGTACAGTTATTTCTGATACAAAGAAAACATTGCAAAAGAGAGTTGAAATAGGTTAGTATCAATGTCACTAAATAATTTAATTCAGCAATATTACTGACATGTAAAAACAAACTCGCCCAGTCATTATTCTGGATGATTAGAATGTAATGAACTCTGTATGCATTCACTAATGTGAATGTGCAACTATGTAAAGCGCTGCGTACATTGTTGGCGCTAGATAAATACCTGTAATAAATAAACTCTAAGGGGTCTATTCACAGTGAGAGCTAGCTCTGCCCAACTGTTTTCTATTGTCGGTTCTGCTGCCATAAAAAAAAAAAAAAAACTCTCCCGGGCGCTTCGGGAGTCCCACGCTCACGGCCGCCAAGGAGAGAAACAGTGCTTTTTCTTTTTTTCTCTTTATTCTGACACGGAGCCGTGTCAGAATAGAAAAAATATATAATTGGCTTTTGGCTATTTCAATTTGCAATAGCCAATAGCAAACTAGCATTGTACCCGCCCTTTGCTGCTGTCAATCAGTAGTGGTGGGCCTGATGGAGAACTGCAGCAGAGGGCGGGTGCAATTCTATAGCTACATCCTTCAGCTGCTTCGTGAATAGACCCCTAAATCTTCCCCTAGATATCATGCAAAGGAAAAAAATATTTAACTTAGACCGATCCATTGAAGTTTCTGGGCCTCACTGCTACCTCTAGGGAAAGCTGAGTATTCCAAATCTCATGGGAATTGGCTCTTGAACTAAGCAGAAATGCATTCTTGTGAAATGAGGGATACTTGGAAGCACCTACGGAAGCACCTTCAGGAATTGGCTGCAAGCACTGTTTTTTTTTGGGGGGGGGGGGGGCTAGGAGAGAAGCATTCGTTGCATTTTCATACAATATCTGCTTTTGGAAACCTAGCTTCATATGTGCATTATGATTTATTTTTTCGATTTTAGCATAGCCGTTTGCATTGAATACAAAATGTTTACTCTGCTCCAACATGTGTACATAAAACATGTACTTAAAAATATCAATAAAATATAGAAAAGGCTATTAAACTGAATAATTGAATGTCTTCACCTAAATAATGATAATGGGTAGCTTATTGTAAACTGTTTTCAGCTGGTTTGCAAAGTATTATTTTTACATAATTGGAATATTGGTGTTTTCATATTTGCCTGACCTGTAACCAAAACCTTTAACCTAGACATGCACCTGATAGAAAACAATTTTCAGAGAGAGTTATTATAGGGGAAGATTTTCTATTTTATTTGATTACTAATTAGTTTTACAGACAGTTAACCTGTCAACTGTATGTTTTGTTTGTGGAAGGTGTACATATTCCTGAGACATAAATGCTGTGACATACGTGCAGGGAGAACAAATTAACACAATGCAAAAAGCGTCCTTCTGGGGTCTTAACCTTGAAGGGCTTGTTCACACCAAGTGCGGAGCAGATGCAGAACACAGCAGTTACAGAATGCATCAAAACAGCATCCAATGTATTCCAATGGTATTTTGGACTCTAGTTCACACCAGAGCGTTCAGTTCCAGAGCATGTGGAAAAATTGCAATATGCCCTATTTTTTCTTCCCTGGAATGCACCAAAACGCATGCAAATGCCTCAGAAATGCATTCAAATGCCCTGGAATGCACTGAAAGCCCATTTTAGGCTTTAAAAAAAAGGCACAGAACACGGCAACAACACAGCAAAAATACACTGCACTGCATGTGCAGAAACTCATGCAGATCTGATCTGCATTTGGTGTGAACCAGCCCTAGGTTGTCAGTAATATCCACCCTACTGTCCTGATATAGAGAAAGCAATTCAGCTCTGGTAATATATCCTTGCTATTTAAAGATCATCTAAAAAAAATAGACATAGCACAGAATATTAACAGTAGTATGGCCCCATATGTCAGTTATAAGTAGACAACCCCTTTAAGCTGCATATCTTGCCATAAAAAAATATACAGTACCAGCATTTTCATTGCCATCAAAGCTGATAGAAAGGCCAAAATCTGTTTCCAGGTAGATTCTTGTTGGCTTCTGGTAGATGCTTATTCCATCATGTGGATGGGCAGGAGGTAATGTTCTTACACCATTCAGCTAGAATACAATAAGAAAATCAGTGCAACAAAATAATTCTCAAAACAGCATGTTCCAGAGTAAACATATTTAAAACTTTATTATAAAGATAAACATTCATATTTCCTAAACTGCTTTCATATTTGGTGGTATTGTACATTTTGTTAGACAAAGACATAGACAACCCTCAGAAAATAACCAATGAGACATACAGTATTTGGCAACGATAATAATAAAGCTGAATAGAGGGTATTACAACACTAAAGCATTTTTCATAGTAAAATGCATTTCTTTTGCATGAACTGCCCATTTCAGCCTCCCCCATAACTGTTCAATGTTTCATTTTTTTCTTTTTGAGCCATTCCTTGCTAGCTTTGTTAGTGTGAGTTGGGTCATTATCGCATTGAAAGGCTTATTTTTGGTTCAACTTAAACTATATTCCAGCAGAAATTGCAGTGTGAGCACATTATTTTAAGTCCTTATGGACTTAATAGGCAGATTACTTCTAACTTTTATCCCCTCCCACACACACACGCCTTCTGTTAAACTATCTGCTTACGTAAGCAGCAGTAGCTAATAATTGTATCATTTCTCCCTATACTATGCAGATACCAATGTGTTTCAGATACAATATAGCACAGGTTGCTTGACTAGTAAGCCTGTAATAAATAATGCACTAATATGTGAAATTAGTTTTAAAAAAAAGTATTTTTACCTTACCCAGTGATCTGTAAATTTGTAAATCTGATGTGTTTTCAAATACAATGTAGCACAGGTTGCTTGACTAGTAAGCCTGTAATAAATAATGCACTAATATGTGAAATTAGTTTAATAAAAAAAAGTATTTTTACCTTACCCAGTGATCTGTAAATTTGTAAATCATCTAGTCAGAAAGTATGTTTAGTCCTTAGTAAATTGTCTCCTGTTGTATTGCCTTTGAGTATGTAAGGACCCCACCATGCTAATTCCAGGCCTTTTCCTCACTAGGTGTCTAGTTATTTTGGAACTTTCTATATACGCCAATCCAGTGGTGATATATTCTGGCCTCTCCAGCACCACCCACTAGTCTCTCAGAGGCTGGCTTAGGAATGTGTGTGTGTGGGGGGGTAGGGCTGTTCTATTTTGGTTGCACATTGCCACACCTTTTAACTGTGAACTCTGAACTCTTACACTCTCAAAAATGCTGGAAAAAGGTAAATCGCTTTGTTGAAGCAAAAAGTCCATCGTCATCAAAAGCTGCCTTTGTCAATGGCAGTAGACAAATGGGTTATCTCATAATATTCTGCATTAACTGAATGAGTAAATAGTCTAAAACTCCCTTTTATCTTTTTATCAGAAAGGTAAACAAATAGCTACATTTTGCTCACCACTGAACAGTGTCTACTTTTCGTAACAGTGACTGTTCATGTGTGCCAAAGCTCAGTTGACATACAGGCTCTTCATTAAGCTGAATGGAAGTTACTGTGCACATGTACTTCTGTAAAGACTTCTGAAAATTTCAGGATGAAGCTTTATAACTCTGGGCAGTTTACACAGTGAAGGTCTCAGATTCTCAGATATGCAGTTTTATAGGTAAGTGTTATCGACAGATCATTCTTTTATATTCTAAATATACTCAAAGACGATTTTATACACTTACCACTAATATCTTGTTTTGTCTGAATGATATGACATGATTATAAACTTTAATATGCAGCTCCTTCAGTAAACTAAATTTACTATATAAGAACATAGCCTCATTTTTTCCTTCAATAGTAAATGATTCCAAATAGTCCGGCAGAGCAGAAGACGTCCGTGTCAGCATGTAAGTACCCTTGCCCTGGAAGTGATGGTTTAGGCGATCAAAGGTGTAATAATGTGGATCACCTCCGATGGTGCATTTAGAATAACCTGGAATAGATGAGTAGTTAGACAATGAGGTCCAACATACATCTTCCTAGAAGAATACATTCTAATTTCACCAATTAATTTATTTTATCAGGTGAAGTAATATAACACAAACAGCTGCTTTTAGATTATCCTTCCCTGATCTTCATTGCTCTTAGAACTGTGACTGCAAATTACAGTTTATCTTATTTTTAATGAAGTATGGCTGTGCCATACCGGGTCATCTATTCTCGAGGATTGCTGAATCAAAATATAACAAGTCCCTTCTGCTACCAGGGCAAAGGGACACAGCGGAGCAGGCAGGCAACCTAGTGTTGATCTTACTGCGGTTGATATCTATAATTATTTTTCTAGCATTCACTGATACAGAAACCACCAGGTAGATGGTTATATTACACACAACTGTATATCAGTTGATAACTCTTGTGCTGCAACACACTCACCTGTTGGTTTGCAGATGTATTTGCCATTTTTGTCCACACTGCAGATTCCATAAGGACAGCTAAAGGATTTACATTTGATTTCATTGCCCTTGTTACATTCACATTTATGTGTGCAGTGAGGTGTGATCCAGCTTTCATAAATCTAAAAAGGCAAATGTATAGTTTTACATAACAATCCAACATAATCCACCTTTACAAAGTGTTAAAGAGGTATATATTACTCTGACATTTCTAAGAGTCAGTCCACGAAACTTAAACAAAAGTTACTTTATATATACACAACTATTAATCATGTTCCCAGATCCATTTCAGATTCGAAATGCCTTTCATTTGTACCCTACACTATAATTAATTCAGTATTAAAGTGTATCTAAACCCAAAAGTAAAAATTTACTATATTGCAGTTTACCAATACCAGCAGTGGTGGTTGCACCTGTGTGGTGGCTGAATCTTTCATTCTTTAGGCTTTTTTCCTTTATTTTCCCCTGATTATCCAAAAAATGAAGCCTGACATTTTTCAGTTTCCTTTACCAGACAAAGCTGTGGCGCAAATTTAGCAGATAGAGAGTTGAAACAAATGGTTATCTTTTATTATTTATGTAAAAACTTTATCCTAAAAGGAAAAAAAACACCTGCCACTGTAATTGCTACAAACATTTTAGCTGGGGTTCAGTTTTAATTTGCTACTAATTTTGATACTGCATTTGATATTACTGTCTCCCAACATTGACAATGCTGTAGTCCAACGGTGGCTCCATTGCTCCTGCATACAGTGGAGCCACCATAAGGAATTATGGTACTGGCCGCATCATCAAGGGAAAATAAAGGAAACAACCATAAAGAAAACGAATGCAGCTATCACATTTAAGGATTAGTAAACTGCCATATATTCAATTTAAATTGGTTTGTTTAGATACGCTTTAAGTGATATTTTGGATAATGAAAGCCTAAATGTGACAACTAAGAGTATTCTTCAGCTTTGTGTCTGCATACTGTGTAGTGTATAACAATGACATTACCTTTATTTTAAGTATAATACATTACTAACACCCTAGATTATTAGGCATCATTATTAAACCTCTATAAATCTTGTAAATTAAATGTTATACCTATATACATGCTTTAACAAAACCACAAAATGGAATGTTATGTTCTAATGTTCCTATGGCTTCAGTAGATGAGCTACTGATGGTACATGGTAACTTATAGAGGGTTTTGTATTTGGCCCTTATTTACTTACTCTGTTTGGGCCTGACTCTGGGCTCTAAGAGTCAGGGTGAGACATCACCTAAGGTCCGTCAATAGTCATGTCAACAACCTGACATTGTTTTGACAACACACAAATATTAGTATAATAAAGTTAGTTTGTTGTCTAGCAGAGACTGACTCTCAGAGCCAAGAGCAAGGCACATTTTTATAGGTAAACCTGGACAGGCATAATGATTTCACACTGAATATTCAGATCCTTGTTTTAAGGACAAGCATGACTAATTTTCTTTATAGCAAGCCTTTCAGCCATTTTAAGGTTTTAAAAGTCCTATGACATCACAAGATGCTTATTATTAACTTTATCAACCTGAAAACCTTCTTCTATATAGAGTACACTCTGACTTGAGAAAAATGAGCTTCCCTAGGAGCTAAGCTCCACCATCCATTCCACTATTTAGGTCAGATAATCTGTAATTGGATTGTGCTTAATAGATGGGCAGGATTTAGATGTCCAACATTAGAGAAGTTGCAACCATGGTGAAAAAAATGTGCCCAAGGCTCCTTAAATGAACAAAAATGAGCATTAGTTTAAAGCGACACTAAAGTAAAAAATGAAATAATAATAAAAATACCTTCTATTATATAAATAATACATTAGTTTGTATCTTTTTTTTGTAATTGTTCAGCTCTAAATGCTCCAAAATCTATTTTATATCCCTTCAGCCACAACTTCCTGCCAAAGGATGGCTACTTTTCTTCTCCATGGTCCCTATGTGTGCTGAAAAGTATCCACCCTCTGTGCTTTCTCATGTGAAGGACTACAATGCAATACAGTGGCGGAACTACGGCCAGTGCGGGCGGTGCCGCCGCACCGGGGCCTGAGGCTGTGGTGGGGCCCAGTAGGGTCCGGTCCTGGGCACCACCACAGCCTCAGTGGGGTCCGGTCCTGCAATATGGGGCAGTGCATCCTAAGGAGAACTATGAGGAAAAGCCCTGACCCCATAGTTCTCCTTTAAATGATTACAGACAGACCTCTGTTCTATCACAGTTTGAGACGTTAGAATGTGTGACCAGTGACGCGGTCACACATTTAAACGTAATCTCGCCCAGTTTTTCGGCGGCTGGTCTCTTTTGCAAAACTTTTATTGAACCCTGTAGTGAATAGGTAGGGGTACAAGTACCCCTGACTCATTCACAAGGGGGTGGGGGCCGCATCTGGGTGCCCCTTTTTAAAGGGGTACCCTGATGTGAATAAGCCAGGGCTTGTGGGGAAGACAGCATGGGAACAAGGTGCTTTTCCAGGGGCAACCCTGAAAAAGCACCCTCCCAGTGCCGAGGGCATGAGGCCTGGTATGGGAGGGAGGCCTATGCTCAGATCAAGGGTCTGGTTTGGAATTATAGGGGGGACCCCATGTTTTTTCCCTAATTTTTGGGGATAAATTCCTCCTTAAAATTCCTACCAGACCTTAAGGGCCTGACATGACTTTAAGGGGAAACCCCACACACTTTTGTTTTTTTTACCTGCTCCCTGTTTAGGATATCCGTTTTTATTCCCTCCCCTCATATTCTAGTTTAAAAGCTCTTTCAGTCTTCTAACCATTCTCTCCCCCAAGCGTGGTGCACCTTCCCCATTTAGATGCAGCCCATCTCTGCTGTAGAGCTCAGTTCCCCATGAACCCAAAGCCCTCTTTCCGACATCAGTTCCGCAGCCACTTGTTCAGTTCTCTTAACTCCCTCTGCCTTTCTGGTGTGGTTCTTGGCACTGGCAGTATTTTAGAAAATACTACCTTGGTACTTTTCTTTAACTTAGCACCTAAATCTTTGAAATAATTTTTTAGGACACTCCTTCTAACTCGAATTTTGCCATTGGTACCGATGTTTACCATGACTTAAATATTTTTAAGGTACAGTTAAAACAAGTGTATTCAACATAAAATATGTCTTATTTACAAAAATACATTTGTTCATGGCTTCTATTACTTACCTGATAATAGTTATCATTGGAATCTCTGCAACCACATGAACTGAGTGGAACACATTGGTCCCCACTAAGTACATATCCATCATCACAGACACAACCTTCCATGCATGCAGGTGGCTTATTACACACATCGGGAGCATAGATATTATTGCAGGTAGGTGGGCAGAGAGATGCACAGTCTGTGTAGTGGCTCTGTATTGGACATGACAGGGCTGTAGTAAAAATAGAAAATGCAATTCATTTTTAAAATGTAAACATTAAGCCAAAAGCAGACTCAGAACAATATAATATCATGCTATCTTGCTTTCTAATCCTGCAATTACAGTACCCAATGAGACCTAAAAAAATAAAATAACCCTGCAGCATACTTGTTGCCTTCAAAGAAACTGTGCAGCGGCTTACGAATGCTGACATCAAAGCAAGTACTGTTATTTATGTTAATTCTATACAAAAAGCCGACCGATCTCCGTTCAAATGACAGCTGGACTGAGCCAGCCGTGATCTCACGGCTCACTCTGCCCAGTTGTAATGACAGATCAGCGTCCCCAAATGACCTGGGGATGCTGATCTGTCATTAAACAATAACAACTGGGCGGAGCCGGCCGTGATGTCATGGTCGGCTCCGCCCAGTTGTTATTCATTGGACAGGGCCTGCTAGAAGACTCTGGCAGGTGCCGGCCAATAGGAGACAGGTGGGTGGAGCTAGCTGTCACCGCTAACTCCACCCAATTATTTTTATTTTATTTTTTTCTTTAAATATTTTTATTTTTTAAAAATGTCCTATTTTCTATCCGAGCAGAATAGTGAGCTGAATGCCTATTTAAATGTTGGATCGGCTGAGTCGAACTCCTTCTGCACTTCGGCTCAGACGATGTATTTCTGATTTTAGCCGATGTACAGCTGAAATCAGCCTACGAGACTGAAGTGAACATCATTCGGCTCACTTCACTTCGGATAGGTTATTCACTCGGCTGCCTTCGGCAGCTTTGTGAATAACCTCCTTAATGTTTTTATGATAAATACACAGTTGAATCAAACAGCATTTTATATCAGCCTGGAGTTTAGTTTTAACGTACGTGTTATGGCTATAGTTTACTATAAGTCTTTATAGTATTTTTCTCCATTCTTTCATTCTATATACTGTGTGGCAGTACGTGGCAATGCCAGGGTGTCTTTTGGCAATATAGTCACCCAGGTCTCTCAGCCAGGGGGGCTGAGCAGTTCCAGAAAGTGCAAATGTTGACTGGGAAAGAGCTGGCTTTGCAGTTCTTCCCAGGTTTTCCGGATTTGGCATGGGTTCCTGGAACTGGGAGATTTCAAAGAGCATTGGGAGGGATGAAATCTCCATTCCTGGGTCCAGGCTTTATGGGTAACCAGCACTAAAAGATTGTGCACCTGGGCACAGCCCTTATGAGAAGAATGCTGGCTCATGTTCAGGGCCCCACCTGTGAGTCAGGAGAACTCCACCCAGGAGTCAGAGTGGAGGCCAGTGCAGCAGAGTGCTGCGGGTTCGTGATACCTATTGTGCGGGTTAGCACATTACTGGGGTTGTCTGGAGGTGACAGACAGGGGCCCTGGGGATTGAGGCCGGAGCAGCAGTGCTGCAAGAGAAGCTATTAAAACTGTTACAGGACTGGGACACTGTGAGTGTGTGTGACACCTCAAGGATTGGTGAGCCCATATATGTTATATGCTGGAGACACGCTATTTATGTTGGACTTCCTTTTACTGTCTGCCTTTTGAAAGATAAATAAAGACTTTTCGTTAATGGAAAAGCTGTGCGAGTGATCTGTGAGCTCCCCAACATTACAACGGACTAAAGTACTTACGGCAGAATGATGGACTTCTCCATTTAATCTTTACTCCTTGTGTTCTGCAGACATCTACATAGGCTTGGAATATAGCACACATCGTGGAAATCATGCTGTCATATCTGCACATGTCATACACGCAAGACTGAATAAACAGCTGTGGATCAACTAGTTGATGACAAGGTCTGTAGGTGTCTGACAGAAGTCCACTGCACTGACTTTCTATAGATGGCCTCTGGGCTGCAGTACATGGTGGGCTGAGATCCACTCTGTCATCATCCAAGCACCTGCAGAAGAAGGGTATTGAAAATGACATAGGAATTGACAAGTTTTCTCAAAGTAGTAAAATCCATAAGTATAATAGGGTTACATTATATAAGTATATTGTAGAGTTATAATGAGACTGTTTACATTATCTTGACTGAAAGTACACTGTCAGAAGCAGCTATGCCTGAAAGGGTAGTTATAAGTCAATGTAATATTTTAGCTGGTTTGTATAATTCTATCATTATCATTGGTGGTGCAGAGGTTCTTCATAGTCAGTTCCCTTCAGGCTTCCTAATGCGCCCCTTCTTTAATATATCATTGGTGGTCAGAAATGTGAGGTTTCTCTAATGTATCCCTTATTCAGCCACAGTGTTTCCTCATATGTTTAGTGTTTGAGTAAGGTTGCTTAAGCCTCAAACTCTTAATGGGTACCTGGTATGGCCTACAAATGACCTATGTTAAAGAAGAACTCCAGGCAAAAGTGATCTTAACCTTTGAAGTGGGGCTACCCCCGCACTGCAAGGCTAAGTGCTTCTTTTTGTCTAGGCGCTAAAACAAATACTTACCTGAACCACCGAGCTGGCTGCCTGCTTCTCCGGTCCCTGAAGCCTCTTTCCTCCTACACTGCAGCTTTGGAATTATCCTCAGCTCCATGATGTCAATATACTGTGTATAGAGCCTAAAGAATTATGGGACCTTAGACCACTGCAGCAGAGGGGGAGAGAGGCTACTGGGAGTGGTCTAAGAGTGAGCCGGCTCCTAGTATCAGGGGATTTGCCCCACTGCAAGGGTTAAGGAAAAATCTTCCCAGAATTCTGCTTTAAAGATTCTGTCCATGTACCTACAAGTACCTGCTTGAATCTGTAAATCAATGTGTGTCTTTGTGAAGTCTTTGCATCCTTAGTGGTAAACACAAAGTTGATTTATGGTCAAGTGGACATGCCCTGCCCCTTTCTGTTGGACATGCCCTGACCCTGACATTTAATTCTTAAATGTCCCCGCCTCAGTGGGCAGGAGAGACTCTGACATTTCTAGAGCTGAATGACAGCGGAGGAGGCAGTTAGAAAACCATGAAAAGCTTTGAATCTATTTGACAATTTCAGCACATTTGTTGCAGGATATCTGATGATTTGTGGAAAAGGAAACAGATTAGACTCTTGGCCTTTAAGAAAGTCCACTGAAAATAAAGTGTGTGGTTGCAAATATTGCTTTAAGACCATAAAGCAGTAGGCAATTGATTTAACAGGTGATGTCAGATATGTTGTAAAACAGAATACATTTAAAATGCTGCGGCAGTGAAAAGACAGATAGATAAAGGCAACTGTTTAAAGATGTCCTGCCTCAGTATAAAGATCCCTTCAGAGTATTCATATTATTGGTGGAGCTAAAGTGAACAACAGTTCCATGGCTTTTAAAGTTGTGACAGAGCATCAATGAAAGCTTGGAACTAAAGTGATAGCCTTTATTGACCAGCTCAATAGACTGAGAATGTAAGCTTTCAAAGCATGCTTGTTTTCTTATCAGGTATTATACCAGCTAAAGAAACCTAACATGTTTTGAAAATGTACATTTATTAAGCCACACAATGCTATCATTTTTACTCTAGACTTTCGAATGATTTTAAAGAAATATATAATCAAACAAGTATATAAACAAAATAATCAAAAATTCAGGAGTCACAGTTACTTTTTATCGCTGTCTTCCTCAGACTTCCAGCTGTTTCCAAATTCCGTTACACTAGAAGCCTGCAGTGAGTTTGACATGAGGAACTCATCATCCTTTCTGCCGTTGAAATTGCCGCACATACCACATACCTATTTCAAATAAAACATTGATTTCTTAGCACTAGTGTATCTTAATTTAAAAGAAAATCCTTCAAAACATTACATGGATACTTAGTATTTATATGAAATTTGCAGAACCATTGGTCCTGTAAAATTTGTTCTGTGCAGACGGAGGCAAAAATTAAAGTTCTTTTTTTATTTCTAAGTCCAATTTAATATCAAGAAAATAACAGATTATGGCCATTAAATAGAGCTGAGTAGCATAGGAAATACATATTTATTTCCCTAGTGTGTTTACAAACACTGATTAGGGATCTGTATTTAGCTACTGTAGTGCTGGGTATCTGTAATTTGTGTCGGGAATAGCGGCAGGGCAACATTGTCTATCAGTGGGTCAACATTGTCATGTAGCATGTGTCAGGGAGGACGTGATTGACATTGGATTTAAATCATGGGATCAATGGTGTGGTTGTTTTTATTACCGTTTGTAAAAATTTTTGTCAAAGAGTAACAAGGGGTACTGTGTACCCCATATTCATTCATGTAGGGGGCCAGATATCTAGGGACCCTTTGTCCTAAAGGGGACTTCCAGATTCTGATAATTCTCACCCCCAAATGGCTCTTATCCTTTCAAAATGGGAACAAGGTGTCTTGCAAAAGAGGGTGGGGGGGCCTTGAGAGGGTACCCTCTTGAAGTTATGTGGCCTGTTAAGGTTCGGTGGAAAAGAGGGGTGGGTGCACTTAATCTAAAGGGAAAACAAAACACTCCACACACTGACCTTTTCATAGTATGACTCTGGGAGGACGATTTCCAAGTGGTGATTACCATCAAACTTCACTATCATTCCAAAGTCAGTGGTCACCACAGTGTACAGACCAACAGTGACAACAGAAACCCCAGCCAAATGTCCAGTCCATGGTGTATGGATGAGAGTATCACCCACCTGTTGATAAACAATAAAATATATATCATTTGAGTAGTTTTTTTTTATAAATACTGCAGGTACACTTTGTTAGAGTCTTGTACGGGACTTCTTACATACTGTAGTATCATACTGTGTTTATGAATTCATCTAATAATTAAGTCTTACCAGAGTTCTCCTATCTTTCTGCAGTGTAATACGAATGCCATACACATCAATATAAACTTCTTTGAGATATGTTGCAGCTCGTTGCCCTCGGTCCTCTGTTTTCCCTTTGATGGTGAGAGGTATGATACTTCTCTTGTCACATACATCCACCAGTGTGTAAGTACAAGTACCCATGAAAGTGTGCATGACCTTATCAAATGTGTAGAAATGGGGATCTCCAGAAACATGGCAAGCTGCAATTCCTGCATTTAAACATAAACACTATGTTTATAATGCATGTCTATACTGATTTATATAACTTTATAATTTTTCCAACACAAATGCAGAAAAATCAGAAACTCAGAAGAAGAAAATGTCAATGCTCCGAAAAAATTGACTACAAGCACAAAATAAATCTGAGATTGTAAAGTTAGGCAAATTTGTTTAAAACAATATACTTTAATACAGGTTTAAATCAATAATACTACTAGGGATGGGAAACTCTGCCTGGGTTCGATTTGACAAGGGTTCGGCAAATCCTGTTCGAAATTCTACAATCCCGAACCTAGTAGAAACACCCATTGAAATGTATGGGGTGAATCCTGCCATTAAATCTGGCTATTTTTAAGGCAAACTACTGTCAAAAAAGGCATGGACAGCTTTGCACTGCAAAACTGTACAGTGGGGAGAGGCTTTTTTCATGCGACTCTAAGGGAAACATTTTAAATACCAAATCCTTTAAATAACATGCATAAATTGTGGGATGCCTTATAGATGTATACAGTGTTACAAAATATTACAGTTTCACAGACTCAGTGACAACATATGATTTTAGCACATATTTGGCTGTGCAATTGATTTTTTTTCCTTGTGCACTTAGTTTGGCTCCCAAATAGCAGCAGAAGTCCAGTCTGAGTCAGTTTAAAAAAAGGTTTTCTTTAGCTAATTTTAACAGTGACACATGCTTTTTAATAAACCAGTAAAATAATTGTTTGGATCAGCCTATAGAAACCGGCCACTAACTCCCTGAGGCTTGTCCCTGTCCTCACTGATGTATAAACTGTCTTGCGACTGGCCAAATTCTATCAAACTCTCATAAGAATTAGGAGACTGCAGATGAAACAGCAGTGTAAAATTGGCCAGCAGCAGAAAAATTGTAAATTTCAAGGTTAAGCTCAAATTTCCTAGAAACAGTAGTATAGCAAACAACAGTACACAACTGGAACAGGAAACAACGGTATCATGTAGCATCAGGATAGTTTAAATCATGGATACAAGGCCTAACCATTGTATCCCTAACTTGATTTATAGGGAGAAGGTAGTGTGGTGAATGTGAGTGATATATTGTGAGGTGGTTTAGATGTACACTGTTCTTGCACTTATTTTTTCTCTTTCAAATAATATCCGGAGGCATTCTGTAAACAAAAGGCATCTCCAAATGCAGATGGTCAGGATAAAGTGGATGATGCATTTGGAGCACCCCCAAACTGAAAAAGGGCACAATCAAAAAAAATAAAACTCAAAAATGCCACCCCTGAAACAAAAGCTCACTTTTTATAGGAAGCCTTGCTGCAAAAAAAAGCAATTTAACCTAAAATAAAGATCGTATTAACATAAAATATACGCCTCCAAAACAAAACAAAAAAGAAAACCCCTAAATAAAGGAGACCTTGCAGAAAAACGTCTTACTATGGATGGGGTAACAGATGAAACAAATGATGACCTCAGATCCACCACAAAATGAAATTAAAGACAAAAAAGCCCCCAATAATGAAAACGAATAGCAGCAAAAAAAAATTATTGCTCAAAGAGCTGGCAATTGGAATTAAAGTACAGTTTTCTAATTGACCCTAATCCCTACAGCATCTTCCATCACACTGGCACTATGGCTGCCCTTTGCCTCCCCCCACTTTTATAATGAGGGGGGTGGCTTATCCAAAAAGCCCCCTAACTGGCCCTTCTTAGCCTGCTGGTCATAGTTCAAAGGCCATTCAGTGCATTATGGTTTTAACAAATTCTCCCAGGTGAATCTGCACAAAAATTTGTCAGGACTGTGAATTTACCTTAAACCCATGAAAATGGTGAACCTGAACATCATCTCTAAATACTAATATATATTTCCATTATAATCAATGTGGTGAGTTTAATGTTTCAGGACATCAATACATCCAAAATTAATGCTCAGGCCAGTTTAGGTTTATAATCTAGTCTTGATATTTAGGATCTGCCTCGTTATCTATGGAAGTCACTGACATGCATATATATACACTGGGTGTCTATGTTTAAAGAAAAAACTGGAAAATTAATTCAGTGAATCCTTTACTGAGATTCCTTGAAGTGAGATTTGATGACATTTGCCTGGCATTGCACTTCACATTTAATCTATTTAAGACAGGATGAATGTGTGCCAGGTGAGTGCAGTACAAGTGAAAAACTGTCATATCTCATATGTGTAAAGCAATAGCAATAGCTTGCCAAGGTGCTAAAATACTGTTTTTATCTAATTTTAGCATTAGGCAGATACTTTGTAAAACAAATTAAAAAAGCGTGCCTCCCTCTCAAATCTAATTAGCCCATAATACCAGGCATGCAGACTGGTATAGCAAAAGAGTGATGACAGTACAGCCTCCCTCCCCCCCGCTATGTAATGCCAGCCCTTTAGCATGGGGGGGGGGGTGCTTTGAGAGGGATTCCCAAAAAACAGGGATCCCACTCCCAAAACACGCGTATTGTAGAGTAATCATGTTTCTACACAGCTTGGCAAAACAACTTTCCTAATTATGAATTTAGACCATAATGGTTTGTCCGGAAAATTTGCACTGTTAGTGTGACTAAATGAATATATTATTTGCTTAAAAAAATGTAGATAATCTAATACAAACCAGAGGAATGACAGCCCAGCACTCCCTCATCCATCCTGCATTGCTCTTGTGATCCACATTGCCATTCGCTACATGTGATGACATTATTCTTGTTGCATGTACAGCGCTGAGTGCAGTTTTCATAGGTGAACCAACTTTCTCCAAGCTGGAAGCAGATAGTTTGCAAGCTGTCATTTTAAGATGTGTTTTTTTCAGGCAAAACTACATGTTAAACATATATTCTAGATAATTTGATAAGGGATTTTAAAAATAGTCCCCAGAAAACATCTCCATTTTCTATTCTCTGTAATCTTTTTATTTTTACTTTTTTTTAACAAATAAAACAACAGTAACAATGTGCAGGACTAAGTATTATTAACAGGAAATCACATGACAGTAAATGAAGATCTCAGAGAGGTTTAGCCTAATGTTAAGAGGACGAGTCTGCCTTCATTTTGTGCCTTCCTACATTGTCTGCTAATAGTAAGTTTTAATCAAAGAATATATCAAATTAACAGTAATGAATCTGATAACAAAATGTTTAATTTATCCAAAGAAAGACGCATCAAAAACTGACTATTGCCCTTTTACAATTACCCTTTTTGCAGAGACAGTCATAAAGATAAAGAAGTACACACTGTTATTACTAATATAATGCTTGCATTATACTCCTTACATCTTCTGTTTGCATGTTATAAAAATGAAATCTACAGAAATAGGGCTAAACTCCATTCCTGCTTCAGTTTATTTTCCACTAACAGAAAACAAGTGTCCCCTCCCCAAACTTGGACTGAACAGTGAAAGGAGAAGCAGGGCACCCATGGGCTCATCTACCTGTCACCCAGCTCTCCCCTTCTATCAGTATGCTCCATGAACTGCAACACACCTAACTGGCTCCTTGTACTGATTCACCTCCCCCTCTCTCAGCTTTGCTGTAGAGGGAATGCAAGATAATGATACCAAGTGAGATTCACATATTTACACTGCTGGCCTTGTTTTTTAAATGCTTTTAATGATTTATTAATGATAACAGAGCTTCATTTATGTGTGCCTTTTAAATCTGCCTTGAGTTTAGCTTTAATGAGTGGAAAAAACAAATGTGACCTTAAACAAGCTTTTACAAATAGCTTCAGCCAAGAAATGCTAAGAAAAAACAGCAAACAAAACATCTGAAGTCTCTGTAAATAGCCCCCCTAAGTAGTTACAGCTACAAGAGTGTCATATACAAGATTGCAGAATATTTTACCTGGTAAGAGTTGTTATGCTCATCAGTGCAGCCACATTCACTCTGAGGCACACATTTGTCTCCACTGAGGAAATAGCCGTCATCACAGAAACAGCCTTCTACTGACTTAGACTCGCATGACGCTACTGCAGGAGAGTTGAAGCAAGTGGATGGACATGTGGTACCGCAACTGCTATAATAGCTTCTTGCTGGACATATCATTGCTGAAATATAGGAAAAAAATTACTTGTGAGACATCTATTTATTGCAAAGAACAACACAACTTTCAAATTTTAATGACAGCTTCCCCCAACACAAACATGAAGCTGTAAACCGATGATCCTTGTTGCTCATAACAACTTTATTAGTCGAGCAGCAATGAGGACACGCAGCCAATGCCTTCCGTTGATGCATTTTGCCTCGGGGGTAAATTCTAAAACTCTTTGATTAAGCCCTAGTAGGGGGTGAAACATGTCAGGCATGTCTGGAGAAGTCATGAAAGTGACTTATCCACACATAGCAAAGAACATAGACCATGAAGTTCATGTTTTTCTCCCACATGCCTTTTGGAAAGCTCCAAATAAAATATATGATGCTTTTTTCGGGTTTCTTTCATAAAACCCATCTGTGCAAAGTATTTTTTTGTTGCTTCTCTTATTAATAGTCTGATTAGCTGGTCACTGAGTTTCGGTGATCAGCCTTCTCATTTGCATGTGTGCTAAATATGACTTGTACTGGTGCTTCTCAAGAACTTTATCCCCTGATTTATTTTGATAGCTCTATGGTCTCCTACTTCATGATGCGGTTAACTTAATATATTATGGACTTTCAAAGTACCACACACACCCTATAAAATCTCACCTAAATAATTAAGGCATGTGCTGTACGCCCTGCTCCACTTCCCCTGCAGCTCCCTGGCCACAATTACCTGACTTGTGGTATATATCACAGAAGCAACTGCAGCAGCTGCTGTGTAAATTGACAATAACACGACAGTGTCTGTGGTGTCAATAAGAATTATGATAAAGCAATGTTGTTTTTAGACATTGTAATTAGCCTTGTTCATTCACAGCAGATCAAAGAAGTGATCTTTCACCTGTATCTGATGCCAGTAAAGGTGGCCATACACCTTACAACCATCGCACGACTTTCGTTGTACGATGGTTGTAAGGTCATTAAAATTTAGTACGATCTGCCCATCTTGGACAGGCAGATCGTACTTGCGAGGGGAGGGCTTCCGATGATTGCAGTGCTGAGCGGGCAGTGTGCGCTTGCGCACAGCGGCCTGTGCGGCATTCGTCTCCGAGCACGCCACCAACCAGGCAGGTTTTCCAGCGTGCTCAGAAGATGAAAGTCGTGCGATCGCTTCTACTGTAAGGTCGCACGACTTTCGTCTTCTGAGCACGCTGGAAAATTATTGTACGCTCGCGCGATTACCCTCGATTATCGTACGATAATCGTCAGGTGTATGGGCACCTTTAGAGTAACCTTGCAAGTAAAACAAAAGTAAATAAAATGTGTTTCTAATTAACCCTTTATTAACTCTTGGGTAACCCTAGTTAACCTTAATTAACTACTTTCTCCCCGTCTCTCCTTATTTATTACTTTGACACTGACTTTTTTAAATTTCTTTCATTCCCTTATTTCTTTGTACTTTCTTTTCTTTTTTACTGCCAATGGTTCCAATTTTTTTTTGCTTTTTTTAGCCATCAAAAATAGGTGGGTGTGTCAGTCATATACCTGTAGAAAATAGTAATTCCTTCTGCACTCCTCACAGCGCTTGCAGAATATTTTACCTGGTAAGAGTTGTTATGCTCATCAGTGCAGCCACATTCACTCTGAGGCACACATTTGTCTCCACTGAGGAAATAGCCGTCATCACAGAAACAGCCTTCTACTGACTTAGACTCGCATGACGCTACTGCAGGAGAGTTGAAGCAAGTGGATGGACATGTGGTACCGCAACTGCTATAATAGCTTCTTGCTGGACATATCATTGCTGAAATATAGGAAAAAAATTACTTGTGAGACATCTATTTATTGCAAAGAACAACACAACTTTCAAATTTTAATGACAACTTCCCCCAACACAAACATGAAGCTGTAAACCGGTGATCCTTGTTGCTCATAACAACTTTATTAGTCCACGCAGCCAATGCCTTCCGTTGATGCATTTTGCCTCGGGGGTAAATTCTAAAACTCTTTGATTAAGCCCTAGTAGGGGGTGAAACATGTCAGGCATGTCTGGAGAAGTCATGAAAGTGACTTATCCACACATAGCAAAGAACATAGACCATGAAGTTCATGTTTTTCTCCCACATGCCTTTTGGAAAGCTCCAAATAAAATATATGATGCTTTTTTCGGGTTTCTTTCATAAAACCCATCTGTGCAAAGTATTTTTTTGTTGCTTCTCTGATTAATAGTCTGATTAGCTGGTCACTGAGTTTCGGTGATCAGCCTTCTCATTTGCATGTGTGCTAAATATGACTTGTACTGGTGCTTCTCAAGAACTTTATCCCCTGATTTATTTTGATAGCTCTATGGTCTCCTACTTCATGATGCGGTTAACTTAATATATTATGGACTTTCAAAGTACCACACACACCCTATAAAATCTCACCTAAATAATTAAGGCATGTGCTGTACGCCCTGCTCCACTTCCCCTGCAGCTCCCTGGCCACAATTACCTGACTTGTGGTATATATCACAGAAGCAACTGCAGCAGCTGCTGTGTAAATTGACAATAACACGACAGTGTCTGTGGTGTCAATAAGAATTATGATAAAGCAATGTTGTTTTTAGACATTGTAATTAGCCTTGTTCATTCACAGCAGATCAAAGAAGTGATCTTTCACCTGTATCTGATGCCAGTAAAGGTGGCCATACACCTTACAACCATCGCACGACTTTCGTTGTACGATGGTTGTAAGGTCATTAAAATTTAGTACGATCTGCCCATCTTGGACAGGCAGATCGTACTTGCGAGGGGAGGGCTTCCGATGATTGCAGTGCTGAGCGGGCAGTGTGCGCTTGCGCACAGCGGCCTGTGCGGCATTCGTCTCCGAGCACGCCACCAACCAGGCAGGTTTTCCAGCGTGCTCAGAAGATGAAAGTCGTGCGATCGCTTCTACTGTAAGGTCGCACGACTTTCGTCTTCTGAGCACGCTGGAAAATTATTGTACGCTCGCGCGATTACCCTCGATTATCGTACGATAATCGTCAGGTGTATGGGCACCTTTAGAGTAACCTTGCAAGTAAAACAAAAGTAAATAAAATGTGTTTCTAATTAACCCTTTATTAACTCTTGGGTAACCCTAGTTAACCTTAATTAACTACTTTCTCCCCGTCTCTCCTTATTTATTACTTTGACACTGACTTTTTTAAATTTCTTTCATTCCCTTATTTCTTTGTACTTTCTTTTCTTTTTTACTGCCAATGGTTCCAATTTTTTTTTGCTTTTTTTAGCCATCAAAAATAGGTGGGTGTGTCAGTCATATACCTGTAGAAAATAGTAATTCCTTCTGCACTCCTCACAGCGCTCCCGGCCCAAGTACTTGTAGTGGTGCTCGCAGTGACGATCACGGATGGCACCGTGCAACAAACAGTGGAAAGCAGAAATCACTAGCACTCAGTAAATATCTTTGATGTCCATTTAAATCGGACCAATCGTCAATTGTCATCTACAAAATAGCAACGTTTCGTGACCGCACAGGATCCCTTCATCAGGGCAACAATATACATATATACCCCTTGAAGAGAGTTTTGTAACCTTTTTAAAGGTTACAAAACTCTCTTCAAGGGGTATATATGTAGCTGTATTAATATAGACCGACTTGTTACATTGTCGCCCTGATGAAGGGATCCTGTGCGGTCCTGAAACGTTGCTTTTTTGTACATGACAACTGATGATTGGTCCGCTTAAATGGACATCAAAGACATTTACTGAGTGCTGGTGATTTCTGCTTTCCACCTTCACTTTCTTTTAAAACACTATGATACCATGCTGAGCTGCTATAATATGATTTACATATAGGAGGGTGATCCAGAATTTTTCAGAAATGTAGTCATTTTTTATTAATTTAAACTTGTTAAACTTGCAGTCAAAATTATTATTACTGCTTGAGTTAGGTAATACAGGCAATTCTGAGATGCTCCAGTCCACCCATTGCCTTTTGTCGAGGGTATAATGATCTGAACCCCTGCTTACGAAATATATATTCTCAAACATACCCTTTGCAGCTTCTGGCATACAGGAACCCTGATCTAAAACATGTAAGTACTAAAAAGCTACCAATCAGAATGAAACCTAATACAAGTAGTGTTATTTGTCATAAAAGAAACCAAAAAAAGGAAGTTACACATCACAGGCTTTAGTATATATACTCAGTGAACCTATGAGATTATCTATAGAATCGTGTTGTAATGAATTACAGGGTAGTAGGAACAAAGCTGACTGAGTGAATATGCTGACTTAAGCAGATTTCCCATGTTTGCTGGATAGCATTGGGTGTTAATTGATTGATTTAACATGTTGCCAGAAAATGCACATGAAGGGTTCTCTGAGAACTGGACACCAAGATCATTCTGATACTTGTAGTGTCTGATTTTCAAAAAGTAGCAGAATGCCTTATGTCTGTGAGTTCTTTCAAGTTGAAGTGAGGCCTGGCTTCACCCACAGTGCTTCAAGTTGCTATATTAGAATCCATTGTTGGCTGAGGCACAGCAGGGCACCTCATCTGCATAATCAACAGATCAGTCCTGGTTGCATTGCCCGGTTATTTAATCTTGTGTAAATGTGTGGCTTAGATATCAGTTACTAAACTCCCATAAAAGCATAGTAATACTTACGGCAGAAAGTGTCTGATCTCCATTCTACACACACGCCGGCATTTGAGCACTGCTGGGCATATGCCTGCACAGCATAGCAGAGGGAAGTTGACTCGCCCTGAGTGAAGCACATATCTAGTATACAGTTGTCAAAGAAGTTACTAGGATTTACCAGAGCATGACAGTCCTTGAAGACTCCTAAAAGAAACAAAAACATAAATAAAAGCCTTCTTTTATTTGCACACTATTAAAAAAAAAAACACTTCAATGTAATTTAAATGCTTAGTTTTAAGCAATAATTAGCCCAGTGCTACAAAAATTACCTAATCGGTCAATTATAATGCCACAAGCTGTAATCTTGCTGTACTTCTGACGGTCATCAGGATTACAACCAGCCAGGTCTTCACTTTCACACCTGAAGGAGAAACACATAATACCAGTAGAATGCAAGTATATTAAATACCCAACTCCAGACAAAAAGTTTTATTACATTTTAGATAGAGAAGAGAAAGGTTAGCTCCACTGTCAGGATTTTATTGCCATCTGTGTCTGTATTCAGGAGTTTTCCTCTAACATTTTGAAAAGAAGCGATGCCACTTTTCTCAACTGGGGGACACAGACAAAAGCATAATTTCATATATAGTAAAGGAATAAAGGATTAGAACATCTGACAATGTTTTTATTACTATTTGTGTTTTCCTGTCCTATGAGCAACTGCTAAAGGAAAATCTCTCTAAAGGGGCCATAGACAGAAATGTTACCTCTTCATCACGCTACCCAAACAAGAAAAAAAAAGATAAAACTATTTTATCCAGAATTAGGCTTAAAGTGACATTAAACCCTCAGATTTTTTTAACATAAAACAATACTGTAATGTGTGCCTTACTGTAATCCATGGTTGTTTCCCTTCTCTTTGCTGCTCTTCCTTCTAAATCTGTATCTGTTCTCATGCTGGGCAGAACTTCTGTTTTGCAGCAGACTGCCTTGTCTCTGAAATGGATACATGGTTTCTGTGTGTAGGTTTGCAACCTGAGCCATCACTACAGGAAGAGGCACTCAGCTGCAAAGGGAATTTCTCCCGAAGCATGAGAAGACATGAGGATTTGGCAGTACAGAATAAGTTATTCTTGTCTAGCTAAGAAAGGAGGAAGTGAAGGGATGGTGGAGACCCAAAAAGGTAATTGCCATAAAATAATGTGTTGTGGTAATATTGCGGAGGGGGGGAAGAATCAAAATAGATAATGTTAAATAAGAAATGAAAGGTCCTCTTTAAGCAGTTTGGTTTATTCCATTGACGCCCACAAGGTGTTATTATTTTTCTAATCCAATATTCGTTTTAGGAAAGACTTTATGATGCTATACAACATGTTTAAGGACTGTAATAAAGTGTAATATTAGCTCTACAGTAAACCCAGATAGCAAGCAATTGAGCTGCAAGTTTGAAAATGACTTGCTAAACTATTGCAGACTTGCCAAGCTTCACAATTTTGTTGCACAATTACATCAAGTCTGCATTGCAAGTCTCCAGACCAGCAAGCTTGCACAGCTCTTGCTAAGACCTACAGGGGTCTTGCTGTAGACTTGCCAAGCAAATTTGCTACAAATTCAAAAAGTGTCAACTAGAACTTGTGCTGCAAGTGTTCTGCAAGTCTACAACTTGCCAGACTACAATATGTGCAGCAAGTTAACAAAATTACAATTTCACCCCACCACAAGTTTGTAGCAAGTTATCCTTGCTATCAGGGAAACCAGGCATGTCAAATACAAGTAACAAATGTGGATACCATAACCTTACAAAGGGCTGCACTTCTTTAAGGATCAACATGGCAGTTATAAAGCTTAGCTTTAAAAATAAAGATTAAGATGTTATAAATCTTATAAAAAAATATAAGTTTTTGTCTTCTTTTTAGGTACCGTGTACATAGGTACAGAACAAACTGGGAACTCATTCAGTTTACATTTTTAGACTGGCTGGAGACCGCATTTCTACATGTATGCTATAAACAAAGGATAGATAAATGAACAACTGGAACATATGCAAAACACCATCATATATAAAAAAGCGACATGTGACCAAAGGCAAATTTTTAACACTTACAATTGACCATCTTGCAGAACTATCCAACTTTCCCCAAGTTCTCTAGAATCATCAGCAAAAGTTCCATCTGGCTTCAAAAAGTCATCTGATGAAACGTCGTTGTAATTGCCTGAAAGATTGTACCGTGGTTTACAATGCTGATTTAAGAATGGGGTATTTAAAAACTAAACCTGTAAAGCATAATAACATTTTTGGAAACTTGTGACTTACCACACAATCCACACAAATGATTCTTGAAGGTTGATGGCAAAGAAACATCAACATAGTGGTTGCCATCAAATCTCACTTGCAGTCCAAAATCTGTTGCCAAAATCATGTAATTACCACTAAGATGGACCCTGAATCTATTATTAGGAGGAGTTGGTAGATTTGTTCTCTTCCCATTCACCTGCAATTACACATTTCACATGTTTATAGGAGTTTGTTTGAACCGGTTAATGTATTATGTATAACGTAAAGCAACTAATTATAATATTATTTTCAGACTAATAATATCCGATTAGCTTTAGGGTAATCTCATACCATTTCAAAGGTTTTTGCAGTATTATAAATTAACTTTTGCTATATCATTGGCCAAAAGAAGAGTGTTAAAAGTTGTCTGAGAATTTTGGAAAACATGTGATGAAGTAGATGCACAATACATGTCAGCAATAAAAGCTTATAACCCATCTTTTTCTGCCAACCCTTTGTTACTCCACCTTTCATGTATGCTATTTTATTAAGGTTTCTAATCATACCAATTATTGCAAAAACTTAGTTTTATAACAGAAATAAACAAAGAAAAGTTAAATAATTCACCTATACAGCTGGAAGAAATACATTTATCATAGGTCACATGGTATTAAATATCTAATTATTTTCTAAATGTATATGTTAGCAGTTACATGCTATAAATTGTAGTATATTCTTTAGGCAATATGGTATGTCATCCACTTACATTTAGCTGTTTACTCTTTAGCAGAGTGAAGTTAGTGTTGTACACTTCTACATGCACAGACCGGATATATGAAACTTTGTTGTTGGAGCCCCGATGTTCATTTGTGGCATAGACATGGAAATAGGGTAATCCACTGGACAAATCATCACATGGCTTAGTGAGAGTGTAAGTGCAGTTGCCCATATAATGGTGTACTCCACCATCAAATGTGTTGTAGTGAGGATCACCTGATACACTGCAGATTCCACTAACTAGAAGGAAATACAAAGAAAGAAATAAGCTGGGCCATGGCACATGATCTGCTATATCTTATTGCCTCACAGATGTTTCTATTAAGCCAGTTTCTGAATTACACTAATTACATTATTTGTCGTCACTTGTCTTACTTCTTGAAGCATTGGGGCTGATTAACTAAAGGCAAATAGGCTGTTGTCTTTCCAAGGGAATTTTGATGTTGATTTTTATTCCTCCCTAACTTAGTTAATATGGTAAAAACTAATTTTGAAACAAATTCCAATCACATGCCAGAAAATATATGATAAACAGTATGTCTGCTTACACATGATTGGATGATGAAAGTCAGCAGAACTTCACCTCATCCACTAAGCTAAGGGAATATTCCCTTGCATAATGAAAATCTTCTTGCAAAATGAACAGCCTAATTGACTTAAAATTGTACTTAGTAAATCAACCCCATTGTCTTATTTTCCTCATCACTTTGAATAATGATGTTCTCTATGTAAAACAATATGTTACATACTTATTAAAGCACGCACACATTTTTATTAAGCTTGGTTGGAAGTTTTTCTTGAACTGTAAAAGCAGTTCAATAAACGTTGTGGAGCTTTCTTATAATACCAACAGGCTACTTAGTGGAAAGTAGATCACTGGTTCAACTTAAGCTGTTTTACCAAGTGGAAAGGGAAAAAAAGCCTAAAAAAAAAAAGAATAAAATGTAGTTTCTATATCCTAAAATTCTTGAGTTGCATTAGAATTCATAAAGTGCAATATATTAAATTTTTGCTTTTGAAACTAGAGCTACTCCTATTACAATTTATTGATTACACTACACATGTAGTCCACAGTCAAAAAAAACTCACAGCAGATCTTACTTACTTATAGCATCTGATGTTTAAAGCTGGCCATGCACCAGTAGATTTCCAAATGAACTGTCATACAAAAGATCTTTCTTTTTACTTTCTATTAGTTGATGGGGTCAAATTGATGATTGATTTTGACCATAGTGCCGAAAAAGTTGAAGGAGCAGGTAGAAAATGTTTCTCAAACGAACGAAATTCTAACAGTAATTAGGAGAGCCCACACACAGCCCGCACAGAGCCTGCAGTCCACCAGAGAGCCCACACACAGCCAACACAGTGCGCACACAGACCCAGCAGCCCATCTGAGAGCCCATACAGTGCTTGCACAGAGCCCACAGCCCACCTGAGAGCCTGAAGCACACCTGGGAGCCCACACCCCACCTGAGACACCACACAGCCCACCTGAGAGCCTGCACAGCCCACCTGAGAGTGCACACAGCCTGGTGATGAGGGAGCATGGAGAAGGCTTCCCATTAATCAAGAAGCCGGGTGATGAGTCATTACATGCCGCCCGGCTTCCCAGTGAATCAGGAAGCCGGGTGGCAAGTCATTACTTGCCGCCCGGCTTCCCTTATTGGACTTCCGGTATCGGTATTCGGTATCCGTGAGTATTCAATACCCCAAAATTGGTTTGTATGCATTTTGGATGCGCTTCCATGCGCTCTAGTGCATTGCAGACCAAAGAAAATGAGACAAGCAGTAATTTTTTGTCTGGACCGGAACGGACTGTGCTGGTGGCAACAGAGCCCAGAAATACTGTAGGGATACATTGGGATGCTTTTTTGGTCCAGGAACAAACTGTTCTGGTCTGGATACTCCCAGACATGTGAACAAGTCCCCAAACTGGAATACTAAAAATGCAAGTGCTGAGTGACATTTATAATTTAGCAAATATTGAGTTGTTAGTGAATATACATTCTGTGATGAGGTCTAGCTGAATAAAACTAACTGCTAGCTTGTGATTGTGGCAGATGCTTGGAAAACCTATTTTGCTCCATGTTGCTTGCATGTTCAAGGTCTTGGTTATATGTTGAGACCATTTTAACAATGCTGAAACAAAATACTAATATATTTTATAGTTCTTTATAATCCTTACAAAATACATGGCATAAAAATGCATACTGGTTATAACATGTATTGTATATTTCATTTTAAAGCCCATTTCCAGGAAAATAATAACACCCTCCTACCCCCATTTAAAACATCTTGCTCATTTTGTTTCCATCCTACCTTTCGACTAAACATATATCAACTTAAAGCCATCAGTGTCCCTTGCCAATGCAGTTTCTGGATGCAAGGGGCCACACATTCAGCACTGCAGATATGCCCATGGAGGCTGGTCCCTGACAGTCCTCTCATGCTAAAGTTTTTGCTGCGGACACCCCTTTTGAACAAAAAGGGCTATCAGTTGTCCCTCTGGACAACTGATAGCAAGTGTCCATGTCATGCAGGAAGTGACATTGACACAAGAATAAAGACCTCTACTCCTTTAAACAGAAGAAGAGAAGACTAGTGACTGGAGTATCACATGACTGTAGCTTTAGGCCATACCAGCAATCAATTAGAAGAGGGTGGGGGAGATGGGTGGTAGGGGGTTTCATTTGTTTGACTGAAGATGGGTTTTAAGTCTTGTATACCATCATACACTGTCCTTGATCAGTACTGTTCCATTATTTATCACTAACTGTGAGAAGAGTTACAGTAAAAAAGTTTTGTTTTTTTAACAAATTAGTGTTTAAAAACGTTTAAAAAGCCCTGAGCTGTAATCTTCACTGTAAGTGATCTCTTTGCATTAAAACTGTAGAAAAAAAATAAAAATGATAAATAAATGCATTGTGAGTTATTTACCTGATGAAGGTGAATTAGAAATAAATGCTGTAGAGAATTCTGTTGGGTTTGTAGTTGATCGGGAATAGGGTATTGTGGAAGCAGTAGCAATAACAGTGGAAGGCGGTGTGCTTGTGGTAACAAAGGCTGAAGACAGTAGGGTTTTGGTGGTTGAGGAAAGAGACGGAAAAGTAGGAGTGGTAGAGGAAGAAATGGGTGAAGTCATGGGGGCAGAGGTAGGAAAAGGAAAGTTAGTATTACTAGAGGTTGGTATAGGTGTTGTGGTTGTAGTAGAAGTCAGGGTAGATATTACTGAGGAAATGCTCGATGAGGGAAAGGGTAGGTTGGTAAAAGTAGAAGATGGAGTAGATGTTGTGGCTGCAGGAGAGGTAAAGGTGGATATTTCAGAGGAAATACTTGATGAAGGAGAGACTAAGTTGATAATAGTAGAGGATGGAGTGGATGTTGTGGCTGCAGGAGAGGTCAAGGTGGATATTTCAGAGGAAATACTCGATGAAGGAGAGGCTAAGTTGGTAATAGTAGAGGTTGGAATAGATGTTGTGACTGTAATAGAGGTCAAGGTGGATACTTCAGAGGAAATACTCGATGAAGGAGAGGCTAAGTTGGTAATAGTAGAGGTTGGAATAGATGTTGTGGTTGTAGTAGAAGTCAGGGTAGATATTTCTGAGGAAATGCTCAATGAGGGAAAGGATAGGTTGGTAACAGTAGAGGATGGAGTAGATGTTGTGGCTGCAGGAGAGGTCAAGGTGGATATTTCAGAGGAAATACTCGATGAAGGAGAGACTAAGTTGATAATAGTAGAGGATGGAGTAGATGTTGTGGCTGTAATAGAGGTCAAGGTGGATATTTCAGAGGAAATACTCGATGAAGGAGAGACTAAGTTGATAATAGTAGAGGATGGAGTAGATGTTGTGGCTGTAATAGAGGTCAAGGTGGATATTTCAGAGGAAATACTGGATGAAGGAGAGGCTAAGTTGGTAATAGTAGAGGTTGGAATAGATGTTGTGTCTGCAGGAGAGGTCGGGGTGGATGAAAAAGATGGAAATGTCATATGAGTTGTTGTAGACGTAGAATCTAAAGATAGAAAAACATTTTTTTAACTTATTAGATTTAGGTACATTGTTAAGAATACAAAGCAAAGCATGAGAAATGTTCTCCACAAAAATTCAAGTAATACAAAGGCATGACCATCACCATAGCAGCCCCTATCACTAGGGTTAGGGGGCCATGTCATGGTTAGAGATCATGGCCTGCAATCATTGTGTAGCCCCTTAATACGCATTGTCTAAAATAATACAGTCCACTACCCCTCAGAGTTTATATAATGGTAGTAGAATTATGAAAAACTCATACAGCTTTGTGTACATTGAATTCCCTGCAGTAACTTCTTTAGGCCTAGCTGTTGGTGAGCAAAAAGGAAGCAGCTCTGCACGAGTCATGCACCTCTTCACCCTAGCACTAAACAGAGCTGATTCCTTTCTATTTACCAGCAGCGGAACCTAAACTGGATCCAGTGTGTGATTAATACACTGACTATACAGTGCAATTATGTAGTCATGAGCATTGATCCAAATTCTGAATATATATATATATATATATATATATATATACACACACCACTCCAATTAGTACAATATGCCCTTTAAAATAGTGGTGAGGCTGCCCAAATATCCCCCACACAATGTACTATATATATAGATGATACCTATTTTATCAAACAAAAAAATAAACTAAACAAACCACACATGTACTGTATAGACACCCCAGCTCTGAGGGTACTTGGTTTAAATCCCGGCCAGGTCACTATCTGCAAGGAGCTTGTGTGGGTTTCCTGTGTGTACTCCGGTTTCCTCCCACACTCCAAAGACATGCTCAACAGTTATTACAGGAAAGAAACATAAAGCATGTAAAACATAAAACGTTTGGGAATATTTAGAAGTATGTGTTCATAGATTGCCATTACTAAACATTTCTAAAGGTGTATTTTTGTTGTCATTTTGAAGATATGGGTAAAGTTCCTCTTTAAGCTAACAGGTGGGGCTTTAAAGGAGAACTATGAGGTGAGTGAAAATAACTAATCCTCATAGTTCGAGCTGACGTGTGACAATTAACCTGTCACACGTCGGCTCAATAGACCGAGAAGTGATCGAACGCATACTGTCGCTCGCTCACTTCTCGATCATCTCCCTGCAGAGAGCTGTGACAGTCAGTCACCGCTCCCCGTAGGGATTCCCACCCCTCCCCTTTCCGTTCCTCCAGTCAGCACTGGATGGAGAGAGGGTACAGTTGGCTCTGCCTCTAGTCATTCACACAGCTGGGTGGATATCGGACCGTATTGTCGGGATCCGTCCCGGCTGTGGCGGTCTAAGTATACCGCAAGCTGTAGCTCGCGAAATACTGAGCTTTGGGTCACGGGAGGACGCTAGTATATGTCCTCCCATGACCCTTAAGAGAACTATTGGAAAAAACACTGACCCCATAGTTCTCTTTTAAGTCCAATTCACATATTAAAAGCTCTCAAATAGCTTCATTTTAGAACTGTTGATTATAAAGTTCATGTCCACATGGTCCGTCACCCATAGGATGCCTTCAGTCATCTGGGTTGAATAAGGAAATCTAGTGTCAGAAAGTATTGCAGGTGACAGTGCGCAAGATGAGGTTAGTATTGCAGCCTGAGCTTCCATGAAGAGTAATGTGAGGTTAAATAGTTATTTATTCTTTTTTTTTTTAAATGTTCTTTTGTAACACCAGACCAGTCTCTGTCAGTCTTTTGTTACATGCAAATTGTTGCCAACAGCCTTTTAAATAAAATAAATAATTAAATAATCACAGTTTCTCATAGTTTCCAGTATTCATTAAGAATAAAAAAAATAAACCAATCCAATTTAACCGCATCCACTCACAGTAAACCATGCCTATTGTGTACTTCAGCAAGCTTTCCATGTTGCATGAAGGTTGGCCCTGATTTACATGCTTTGCTGGGACCCATATACCCCAGTCTGACACTGATGATATGCCAATGAGAACTGATGTCATGAGTAATATCCTAAAATTCTTATTCATGTAGAATGAATAATATCAACCTATTTAGAGATTAAACCTTAATGCAATAAATCTGTTCTCAAACAGTTTTTACTACAAATGATTTACCTGGCAAAGTAGATGGAGAAGTAGCAGTGGTTGTGGTAGTGGTGGTTGTTGTAGTTGTGGTGGTGCTTGTGGCTGTTGGCACACAAGTTTTAATTCCACTTTGAATTTGACAGACTTCATTAGGTGCACAGGTCTGCTGCTTACAGCTCACTTGATTGTTTTCTCCACACGTACAATAACTTTCGCAGTGTCCGTGCCAGAACATCTCATCTTTCTGCAAATTGGGAATTAGGATAAGACAATTCATATAATTGTGAATAATAAAGCAAATTACCACATGCAATTACCACTGGGCATTTTAACATGAACATAGGAAATAAACAATCTTTCTATAAAGAGGGTAGACCACTCAGCGATCATTCAAAAGCTAAAAAATCCCTGTTCACAGCCCAGAGTTATCATGTGTGTTAGATTGTATTACATATAGCCAGCCTTTAAGTGTACCTATAGTGTATGTACTGTACAACCAAAACTATTTTTATAGAGTAGGGAAAGGTTAAAACCGCTGTAAGTTTTTTTCTCATCTTTGTCCCAGCAGGCAGATTTCCCTTTCACTTGCTGTCTTGTTTACACAACAGGAAGTTAGAGAAAATCTCTTGAAAGTTAGGGAAATTCCCATCTTGTTGTCCCTGGATTCCTCCTCTAATTCTGTTGTGATGACAACTTAGAAACATTGGAGTGCAGCTTCTCACTCCTATTTCCCCAATCACTGTTCTATGCAGATACTTGCTAGCATAATTTTAATAAAAAGACAACTGGAATTTTTTGGTCACTGACAGCATAACAAAACTGTTTGTATCCGATTTCCAGTACTAAAAAATGGGGTTTATTTACTAAAGAAATAGAAGCTAGTCTTTTTGCAAAATTAAAGTTAACTTAGCTTAGTGAACAAGTTTGAGTTCACTTGAATTGCCTAATCATGTGTGAGCAAAAATCTTTTTTTTAATTCTTTTTTTGCCCTTTCAATTAAGTAATAATTTGCACACTAAGTTAGTAGCCACTACGGCTTTAGTAAACCAATCACAAAGTGTCTGTCTAAGCATCTTCTCATTTAACCAGCTTCAGAGCACACTAAAAATAGCAACCACTCTTCTTTCTATGCAAGGAGAATACACACACAAAAGAAGCACCGTTCCTCCACGCCTCATAGAAGGAATGAGACAGGTGCTTGTGGCTGAGAGCATGTCCTTGATCCAATATGAGCCCATACAAACAGAAGAAAATCTGGTCACACACTGGATTCCACTAGAAAAGTTTATTGAAGCTTGTACCATATCACTGGTAGGGGTACACCAGTAAAGTGGTAGAAGCTTCAATAAATTATTCCAGTGGAATCCGGTGCGGCCAGCTTTTCTTCTGTTTGTATGCACCCTTTTTTCTATGTTTTTCTATTGTTGGTTGTTACGTACAAAAAGGGACACAAATGGATTTGGGCATCACGTACTTAAATAATAATTGCAATAATGGAAGACCATAGCACTAACCTGATAGTATTTGCCACTGAAAAAGCATCCACATTCACTGACAGCAACACAAGTGTGTCCACTGAGCACAAAACCATTATCACATTCACAAGCATCAGTACAAGGCTTATTGCAGTTGCTTGGTGCACTCTGGTCCAGGCATGTGGCTGGGCAAGCACTGCTACATGGATTATAGTGACTGTTGCTGGGACATGACAGGGCTGAGTAGAAAAAAAATCAGTCAATGGAAACTGTAACAATGTTTTGTTTTTTTAATTAATTTCACTTGTTCTTTATAAGGGAAGCGTAACTTACTATAGGGCAGCATTTCCAATGGTAAATATAGAAATATAAATACCTTCCTTGGACTCATTGCTCATCCAAAACATGGAGTACCTAACCACCTTACTACCGCTGTACATTGATACATGCCAGTTATCATAGACAAATTGCACATATTCAATTAGTGTGGCTCTGTGATTTGTGATCACTGTGGTGGCCAATCACAAATGTAAAAACTACAACTGTTTAAATCTGAGAAACCCTCATTCCTCTCACAACAGAGGAAGGGGAGGAAGGAGGATTTTATTCA